AAAGCCTCATAATCCCTTCTGATATTCTGAAGACTATGCTTTGAAATTTCATTGGTTCCCACGTGGACCAAGAGGAAGGGGTAATGGGCAATAGGCTTGACAAGCCTTGTCAGCCTCAATGTCACATCACAGATTTTTGCCCCAGGAGACAATATACCTCGCAGGACATCTTGTCAGACCCATAAACCACAACAAGGAGTCTCCACCACCACCACACACCTCCTTTGAGGCTTAGCAGTGGCTGTTCCCTGCAGTGGCATTCTTAGGGTCCCCTGCACTGTCCCTGAGGACTGTCCCTGCTGCCCTTCTTCATCCTTGATAAGGGAGAGAGCTTTAAATCGATTCTATAGCTGCAAGCTCCCAGAACAATCCCTGGTTTCTCTACTTCTGTCTGTGACGTTCCTCCAGCTGTCTACCTCCTGTGTGTATGAAGTGACCTCCTCCTCAACAACTTCCTCTGTGTGGTCCCCATCCAAGACCATTCGTTCTGCTCTGTCCAGGAAAATATTTTTCTCCCTAATATGCTGAAGTGTAGCTACCTGGGCCTCCAGCTGCTGTACTTTCTCTTCCAGGAGGGCTACCAACTTGCACTTTGTGCAGGTGAAGTTTCCACATCTCTTGGCAAGAAGACAAACATTCCACAAGTGTTGCAGGTAACTGCAGCAACTCCCTCAGTGTCCATATTGAGAAATCTTCAGTAAGCACTGAAACAGGACTGTGGGCTTCTCCCTCAAAAAGTCCCCTGGTAAAGACCCATGTAAAGGGCTCCTGTTCTCTTGGTCTTTTCACCAGGCTCTGTCAGCAAGCCTCTGGGAGAAGTTGTATAGAGCTAGTTGGCTAGTTCCACCCCCTATTAACTCATAGACGTGACTCACCAAAGCCCCACCCGCTCTGCAACAGACACACTTCCCCAAGTGTTTTTTTTTTTTTTTACAATTAAACACTCACCCACTCAAAATGGCTTCCCAGAAACTGCTTTCCTTCTCCTTCCTGGCAGGAACTGGCCTGGAAAGCCTTTAGGAGGAGTTGTAGAGAGCTAGTTGGCTAGCTCCACCCCCTATTGACTCACAGATGTGAATCACCAAAGCCCCACCCACTCTAGGTGTTTGTGGATTTCAATAGCTTCCCTGTGCATTCTGACCTGATAGTTATTGGCATAGTCCAAAATTTCAGTGTTTTCGAATAGCATTTTATGTCCAGGATGGTTTATAAGGTGTTCTCCTACTGCTGATTTTTCTGGCTGACATAGTATGCAATGTCTCTCGTGTTGCTTGATTTGTGTTTGAACACTGTGTTTGGTGGTCCCTATGTAGACTTGTTGAATGAAATTCCAATTGAACTGCTGCAATCCACATTGACAGAGTCAACTCTAGTGCTAATCAACATGTGTCAACAGATATGGAAAACAAAACAATGGCCAACAGGTTGGAAGTTATCAATATACATCCCCATCAACAAAAAGGGAGACACAAGAGACTGCAACAATTATAGGACCATAGCACTGATCTCCCACGCAAGCAAAATCATGCTCAAAATTCTGCAACATAGACTCCAACCATACATGGAAAGAGAGATCCCACAGGTCCAAGCAGGGTTCAGGAGAGGAATAGGCACTATGGATCACACTGCAAACATATGATGGCTAAGGGAGTGCACCAGGGAACTCCAAAAGAAAATCAACATGTACGGTACTTTATAGACTACAGCAAAGCCTTTGACTGCATAGACCAGGGACAGGCAACC